TACTACAAGGTTTATTGAGTCTTATCATAATGAGCTCTGAGTATAATAAACTATAAATCCTTAAATATTACATTAGTTTAGTATAAAAGGTGATAGGTATTTAAAATATATATATATACCTATTTTTTTTTTTCTTTTGTTAAAGTAGATACGAATTATAATATAATTATGTACTTTGATTGGTTGATTGTCACATTCGTACCAATAACGTGTTATTTAATTTCATGTGATCGACCAATCACGAAAATATTGTGTTAAGCATCACAGGTGTGATTTAAAACAATTTACAAATAAATATTCGTGAAATAAAGTTTAATTAGATAAGCAAGTCAATATATTTTATCTATAAGAAATGTTAAATGCAACATTAAGTAACTTGAGCTTAAATTTTGATGATTGTTTTTTTTTGGTTTTTCTTTTAAATTTTTTTTTAATTATAATTATTAAATTTAAATCGTGAATTATTTTCGAGAGTTTCAAAACACTACTTTTACAATAGGAGGAACCGTCGATGTTACACGACTAATCCTTCACCCGGTGTGCAACATATAATAAATTATTTTACAATACCAGATCATTCCACTAGCACATGTTACGATTATAATCCCACATAATAGCGGATTTTTTTATATGTTGCACACCGGGTGAAGGATCAGTCGTGTAACATTGACGGTTCCTCTTGTTTACTTTTACAACTATTATCATAATTCCTGGAACACCTACTCCTTTACCCGACATCTTTTTGGTCGTTCGGTAATTACCTAACTCTCCGGAAATTACATCACTGCCTCCGAATTGAAGGTCCGAGACAGCGATTTAGTTTCTGGAGAGTTAAGTAATTCACCGAACGACCAAAAAGATTTCGAGTAATGAGCAAGTGTTCCAGAAATTATGATAATAGCTGTAAAACAGTTTATAATTTTATCCAACAAAGCACTTATATTTAAACTCCAGACCCTGGTGAAAAGATTTATGAATTGTGCTGCGCATTAGTATTTGGCTATATTCATAAAAAAAAGAATTACTTAAACTTTATGCTTTGCAGATTATTATCTAGCTCCGAGCATTTTGTGCAATAGTAATGTATTTAAGTTTGTAAAACTTTTGATTACTTTATTTTTTAATGCATAAGTTTCGAATTTCGGTGCCATATTAAACGATTTAATCTTTTTACTTCAGCACGTGATTCATATTAATAATATTATTGCTATTCATTTTTAGATTAATTGCTTAAGGTTTTAGATATTTATCCGTCAATATATTATTGGTATAAAGTAAACATGTCCATTATTTTGAAAATGTTATTCTATGTAACGGTTTTTTCCGGTACTTTTTTTTAAAAAAAAAAGATTTAAATAAACCATAAACATCGTTTAACAAATAAATATGCAAAGTTAAGTAAATAAATTTAAGCAATACCTTATGTGCTACTCATAACAATAATTGTTGCACTATATACTGTATTCGTAAATTTTGGAAGCTATCTCACATGTAGACTTGTGATAATTTTATATCTTAATTCTTAGAGAAAACTAAGTTTTAAAGTCATAGAATTAGGTTACATACTAATGTTCGTTCATTCAATATAATGCAAAATAAATATAAGCTATAATATGGTAAGAAACAGAGGATTGAACTGAAAATTTTGAATTTTTTTTTTTTTTTTTTAGAAAAAGTTAATGCAATGTTTTTCTTATGATTTTGAATATTTCATATTCGTTCACAGAAAAAAAAGACATCTCTTCTTCATATAAAGATATATTTCTAATAAGTTCTTTATATGAACCATGAAAACAACAACACCCAGAATCTTGATTAAAATTATCAAACATATGAAGATCAGAAAAACATGGACCGCGTTCAGAATTACAATAAATTGCAAATTCAGGGTTTATCACAGGACTTAAAATAGAATTTTGATTTTCATTATTTTTCAATGAAAAAATAAAACATTCATTGCAACTCTTATAGAAACTACTCCCATCTGGCTTGTTCCACCCAATAGGATTATATCCTCCAAGAATTTCATTAGAATCATTAACTTTCATAACTATAACAACATTAGTCTGATTATTACATAAATTCCAAAATGATTCTGCAGTAAATTCATTTTTGCTCCCACGTAAAAGTAATTTAAAATCATATGGAATATTTGTTTTAGAATATTTAATAGCCGTTTTATCAATCCATGAAGCAATTATAGATAAATGCTCATCATTAATAACCGTTGAAAATACATCTGTCGTTTTGGACTGTGATGTCATATTTATACGAGGTGGAAGAACTATTGATAAGATTGGTTGATCAGAGGCCATAAACTTTTTCATTATATCTAACCAAAGACTCCTTTCAAGAAGTTGTTGATATCGTTGTACATTATTAATAATATCTTCATTAGACATTTGAAAATAGCGGATATGAGGCAAACAATTTTTTAAAGTATTCTTTACTGTAAGAAAATCATCAAGAGACCAATTTTCAGGTTCTAATGATAACCCAGGATTTTGTGCAATTCCCCATTTGATAACATGATTCCAAATTTTTCCTTCTCCAATCTGTAAATCATCTCGTTTAATAAGTGAAACTAATGCATATTCTTGAATTGAAGTAAAATCATCAGAGTTAAAAACCTTATCGGGATACTTTGCAGCAATGTTATAGCACCATTCCTGTAGTTCTTGAAGTTTATTATTATTAAGACTTTTTTGGTAAACAAAAACGAAACGAGAATAAAGCCACTGTGCTCTTTCTCCAACCAAATGAGATTCAAGGTTCTTAGCAAGCTCTTCAAAAAGAAATTCATACGCAACAAGCATTAGTTCAAAGACAAACTGTGTATCAAGATTTTCTAGTGAAATTATTCCGCCATAAATATATCTTTTTTAAAATAATTAATGATATTAATAACTTGAAAAAAATCTCAAAAAATACAATAACTACGATAATTAATAAATTAACTTACTTAATAATGACTTCAAATTGTTGAACGGAAACTTGTTCAAAATTAATTGTTTTGATGTGATTTCTATCCTTAAGAGTTTTTGCTAGTTCATCACGAAAATGTGATGACCTATATTTCAAAATCGCTGAATGTGCATGGAATTCCTTAATGTTTGGGAATTGACCAACATTGATAATTACATTAAAATCTTCTTTATCATTAAGAAGCTCAAGATAACTATTTGAGAGAGTTTCCAAAAGCTTTAGCATCGTTTTAAATTAATAAATTTAAAAACGAACTTACAGTATGTAAGATAACCCTTTGATATAAATAGAAATGGTTACACTATGCAAATACTATTACACTATCAGCAAGATAAAAATATCGTTACACGACATTTATGCAGATGATGATAATTTCGTACTAATGTTATTTCTTTACAGTGTACAACTTCTTTTCCATTAGTTACGTAGACCAATTAAATTCCATGTAATGTTTCTAATCAATGATTTCTTTTTATAATGAACTATTTAAAGTGTAGCTAAACATCTAAATATTTCAGCTCAAGTAAATTTCAAGACAATAGATACTAATAAGTATATTGTAACTTCAAAATTAATTTCAAAATTTAAGTTCTCACGATCAAGACTAAACTTGTTCTATCATGGTTTTTTTTTTGCAATCACAGTACATAATTGGTGATTCAGTACTAAATTAATAGCGATAGAGGCTTAGCATAATTTAATATAACTTTACAAGTTATTGTTAATGATATCAATACACTAACTTTATTACTTTGGTTTTTTTTTACATATAGATGTGCAAACAAATTTGTCAAAAGCACGAAACACAAGCATATAATTTAAGAATTTTATTTTTAATTTATTCAAATACTGTTCATGTCTTTAAAAAAAAAACTGTATCAAAGTAGGACACACATTTGACAGTTTACGTATAAAGAACTGTATTAGAATATTTTATTTATATAATTTTACAAACAGAAATCGGAATCGGATAAATAATAACTTATATTGATTGTTATTTTAAGTATTTTATTGGTTGTTTTTTTTATTATTTCTGCGACTTTGTTATTATTAATTTCATTATTATTGTTGTAATTAAGAACGGAATTTGATTCTAGGATAAAATTTATTTATATAAATTTACGCTATAACTTTAAAATCATGAGAAATTCTAAATACACTTAAATTCCGTTCTTAATTACAACAATATAGGATAAATATTTCTTTAAAACTCGGGTTCAACAATATCTCGACGAAGTAACTACGTGAAGTCACGGATATACTTAATCAGCGAAATTCCCAAGCTCTATCACTATTGAGTAACAGATTATGACCAGTTTATTTAATTAACTAATCAATATATGGTGATATGGTATTTTAAAAGAATCATTACGATAGGACCAATAATAATTTTATAAAGACCTTTTATCTCCGGAGCAGAGCAGAGAAATTTTAGTCTAAGCAATAGGTAAAGAATTTTTCAGAGCAGAGAAAAGAAGCCTACAATGAATCCAGACAAGGGGTAATTTTTCTAGTGTGGATTCTGTGTGGATTCCAATTATAATCTGTTATTTGATGCAGCCGGAAAATGTATATCAAGTTAGTGTGTCGCAATAGCTAAATAGTATTATCTCAATCGATAAGGTAGAAATTGATTTTAGAATTTATAATTTTAGTTGCTAAAGATAATATATAAAAGGATAAATTCTAATGTATTACGTTTTACAAATTTTCTTTGTTGTTATGTTTCGCATTTTCATTATTTGTTTCACGTGCAGTAAAATAATTAATTATTATTACTAATGTATTATTTACAACGCATAAAAATTAGCAGACACAGCATCGCCAACAAAAAAATTGCTTACGCCATAATTAAAGCTTTTGATTTCATATTTCTATTTATTTATCTGAGATACGATATGCTAAAAAATGTAATCAAGTGATAAATTTATGATGTAAGCTACATTTTTTGTGGGCGATGCTGAGTCTGCTCATAAAAAGTGTTCTGATCTGGAAATCTAATTCCTATCTAACTGCTATGATTCACCTGTCTGATACGTATTTTCCGAATGCCCATCTGCACCTTCTTCCCGATCTTTCATTGCTCCCTCGTAATCATTCATTAAATCTCTTCTCAATTTTGTAGTTTTGCATGCCATAACAGTATTAGTCTTGTGAATGCATCCTAACGTCACCATTTTCTGAGCCATGGAATATTAATGGAAACAAAGTTTCACGATATATGTGATCGGACATTAATAAAAAATGATAGTTAAATACGTACTTGCAAACTTGCTTAACATTAATTTTTAAGCGAAGTCACGCGGTAACAATGTTGATAATTGATTCCTTAGTGCAGAAATCTTACATTTTTGGGATAGCGACAAAATATCCTAGATCTAGTGTAAATTATTAATTATATAGGAGGTATTAACGAGGTTTTTTGACGGGGTACGAAAATTACTAATTTTTCGTACTCCGTCAAAAACCTCGTTAATAGTGCTAGTAAGAAACTAAGGATGCTCTCCCACAATGTGATCAGCTAGCAAACGAGACCGTGCACAAACACTATAATTAATTGAGGCCATTCTTACTAAAAGTTTATATTGCAAAATGCGTATCTTAAATTTTAGCCAATAAATACAACTCTATAAAAAAAAAATGGTCTAGACCATCTTTTTCATTGCGATGACAGCTTACTTGACCATCCAAATTATATTCCGCTGATTAAAAATTGATCCCCGATCTATTAATTTAGGTGCTTGAGAGTACCCTAAATTTGCAAATTACTATGAAAATTTCCTTTTAGCGTCCTATATGATTGATCATTTACACTAGGTCTAGAATATTTTGTTGCTGTCACAAAAATGCAAGATTTACGCAAAGTACCGTACTGCATTGCTTTAGTACACCTCAAATAATACCCTCATACATTACGAAAAAATTGTATAAGATCCGAGGATTTATATTTAATGTGTTTAATTGAAAATTATCAAAGCATCCCTGATTGTGTACTCACTTTTGGCTAAGTACTCGTGGATATATTGCCAGCATGGGGACATTCATATTTTTTCGGAAAAGCACGGGATTTGTCACAAGATCTTTGACCAATCAGAAACCGGATTTACCAGCACATGATCATAGTCGTTGAACTAAGTAGCCAATCGCAATCAATTATATTATATTTTATTTCGGTTTAATTACAAAGTAAAATAACTCGGGTTGTAAAAGAATCTGACTATTCACTTACAATTATAAACATTCAATTTTTATAAGGCTTTTAGTGACCAGCTAAACGTCCTTCAATAGTTTTCCTTAAAATCTTACATAATTAATAAAATTATACCTCTTACTATAGATAGTACTTTAACATTTAGCAGAACAACCTTTTCCAACATGATGCGCGTGATGCAACTTGAGTTTCTTGAAAAGACGTTCTCTATGAGCTATTTTATTAGTAGAGTATTGTGTGATTGGTTTTATTTTTTTTAAAGTTTACTTATACCAGAAATTTCTGGTTTAAATTAATATTCTGTATAAATACCCGTGTAACGTCGATCTCGGAAATCATCGGATACAAATGTCCTCCATTAGATATTGCCACTGTTTTTGATAAGAACGGAACTAAAGGTAGTATTGAACTAATTTAGTATAGATAAAAAAATAAACTAGATTTGGAATTTAGAATCCATATAGTACACAAGTTTCATTTACTATATGAGATCTTAGCTAAGAAAATTACCCTTCGAAGCTTTCCGATTGGGATAATTCGGACAAACTTAAACCAGAATACCGGTTCTTATTTACATGTAAGTCATCTTTTGCTTTATTAATTATATAACTTATTCGATAAACTATAGAATTGATAAGTAAAAGATGATTTGCATATATAAAAAAGAACTGGTATACTGATCTAAGTTTGTCCAAATTATTCTGGTTGGAAAACCTTTAAGGGTGATTTTTCTAGCAAAGATCCATATATTCATTTAATGTAATAAAAAATTATACTTTACTAACATAAAAAATAAAAGTTAGCAAAAAACTGTTTTTAAATAAAATTTTTTTAAAATGTATCCCTTAAACTGTATATCGTACAAATTTGTACGTACGATAAAAATTTTAAAGCTCTATTTAATGCATTTACATGAAATTTTATTAGGCCTTACCTTCTCATTTCCTAAACTAGATCAAAGCGGTTTACATGCTAATCACTGTACGTATAACTATTTTCCGAAATCTTAACGATGCCTCCAAAATAAATTATATCATATTAATTGTGATTTGAGATGCGCGAATGTACCGTTTTTTCTGACATACTGCAGCATAATGCAGCATAATGTAGCATGTGTACATATGCAATCATGCATCCTGATAGAGGATCCCTCCTTCTGGTTCTGATTTGGCATGTGTAAATGCCCAAACAAGGTGTATTGGCACTTGTTTAGTAAGTTTCACGACTTCTGTATATGGTAAAAGGATCTATATTTGGTGATCAGGCTCTGCGGCTATGTAGCAAGAACCTCATAATTTTTGGTAATTAGGCTCCGCAGAGATAGCAATACAGGGACATATATATACTGATATGGGGCATTCATACTGACAATGATTGAAGTTATAACTACATTAATTAATATTTTTAACAGGTGTAACTTTAGTCAATTGTACGTATGCAAATAACGCAATTTTATAAAATAGTTTCAATACGTACGTAAATTACAATTTATGTTAGGATTAAAAATTACTATATCGATATTTTTTTATAAGTTTGTGTAAGTTTTAAAATCAATACGTATTACATATATTTCGATCATATGAATAACCTTGACAAAAATTTTTGTAAAAGTGGCATGTATTATCGCTCGATCACTTTTACATTGGTAATACGTAGGAATAAACATATGGGAATATGGTTCGCTTTCATATGATTTTCTTAACATCTATGCTCATTGTAATTCGAATATAACTCTCTTGCTATATTTCGATTTTGCACACTGAAGAATGACACAAGTATAGCTTAATTGGCATGTTCTTGACTTTTCTTGTTAACCATTCGGATAATGCTCACAATAGCGATTTAGAAGAGTATCGTTAGACTAGATATTGTTATTACTTACATTTGTATGCTTACTCATACAAAATTGCATCACATTGCTATAAACATGAATTTGTTATATATATATCAAATGGTCCTTGAGCTGTATTATCACAGTCTTGAAACCATGGTTCTTGCAATCATAAGGACCTTGTACTGCTAAATAGCTGTAAAGCCTTTCCTCCTCCTTTTCTTTTTTTTTTTTTTTTTTACTTTTTCTGAGTTGTATTTTCACAGTCTTGGTGTCATAACTTATTTCCACTGTTCGGAAAGGAGAGAAAGCTGCCTAATTTCATAAGACGAGCAATAGCAAAACCAAAGATAAAAAAAACTTCATATGATCAGTATATATATACTTCTTGATCACATGACATATGTTATAAAGTTTGATTTTTGTCATATATTCAATTTTCACGCAAATCAAAAAAAAAATAGGCATTTTAATGTACACTTGTAGTTTGTAGTTATAATATAATTTTATGTAATTTAAAAACCTAATTGTGTATAATGCAAATGTAATTTCAGTCAACTGAAATTACAATTTCAGTTGAATGTTAACCTTAGTCACTTTAATTTTAGTAATGAGGTTTTACAGACCAGGTAAATACAATAAACTGAAAAAAAATATATTTGCCATATATAATTTTGAAACACAAATCCAATTTATTAAGTTTTCTCAAGTTACTGGTACTCGTTAAGACTTGACGAGTTTTTAGAATTAGATATCTGAAAATTTTCAAAAATATACATTAATGCGAATGCATTTGCAATAAACCATTGTCATAAATATAAAAAAAAATAAAATTGTTTTGTGGTATTCATAAGTACAAAAAACTTTGTGATTTGTGATATGCAACATTATGAATAAAACATATTTTAAAGTGACTTAAGTTCCAAATCAATAAACTTGATAAAATAATTTAGAATTCTCTTAAGTTTATTGTAAATTTAAATTGAATTCTTTAACAATTCAAATACGGTTTTAAGATCTATATTTATTCAAACCAATATAAATGGATCTTAAATTTCTAAATCTGAAATAGTTCTATTCTGATGTATGCAATCTGAACTGTATAGAATCTAAAATAAGGAGACAATGAGCTGGGCACATTGTTATTATAGATTGAAGGGCCAAGACCTTTTCTGGTACTTAATCTCAATAATAAATATTAGCACCAAAGCTTAAATATGAAAATCAAATATTAAATTTTACAAGTACATTATAACAAAAATAATTATATTTTATAAAATCTATAAATATTATGTTCTACAAAAACTACATTCTAATTCTTCTGTTACTAAATATTATAATAGTGTTTTGAATGTTCAAAAACTGCATGTAGTTGAAATCTTATAATAATAACAAGTACTTTTTACATAATTGTAAATATAATAATAAGTAGTATATTGTAAATCATCATAACAAGATTTGCAACATGCTTCTACAGAACCCAAATTCGAAGCAGACCTATAAAGTAATATACTTATTAGATTTACAGTATATAACCTATTGCTTCTAGGTCCATTAGAACTACAACAAATATTTTTAGAAATAGAAGTAGGTATACTAGAAATAGAAGTAGGTTTATCAAAATAGAAGTAGACTTACTAAAGGTAGAAATAGGTTTACTAGAAGTGGGCTTACTAGAGGTAATAGTAAGCTTACTAGAGGTAAAAGTAGGCTTACTAGAGATGGAAGTGGATTTACTAGAGATAGAAGTGGGCTTACTAAAAGTATAAGTAGGTTTACTAAAGGTATAAGTAAGCTTACTAGAGGTAGAAGTAGGCTTACTAGAGGTATAAGTAAGCTTACTAGAGGTAGAAGTAGGCTTACTAGATGTAGAAGTAAGCTTACTAGAGGTAGAAGTAGGCTTACTAGAGGTAGAAGTAGGTTTACTAGAGGTAGAAGTAGGTTTACTAGAGGTAGAAGTAGGTTTACTAGAGGTAGAAGTAGGTTTACTAGAGGTAGGTTTACCAGAGATTGAAGTGGGTTTACTAGGGATAGAAGTAAGTGCACTACCAATAGGAGTAGATGCACAGAATGTTACAGTTTTAGTACTGATGTTAATGGTCGGAAGTATAACACCAGCAGGTCCTTTTAAATGACATTTGCTCTTTTTGAAGCAAATTCATTATATCGTGCTGGTTCATCCTCATCAAGATTGTAGTTCATAAATCTTAAAGGTTTATTTATGTTGCATGTTCTGGTAGATTTTTTGTAGTGATTTTTGTTTCTAGCATCGATAGTTCCAAAAAAAACAAAAGACAATAAACAAAAAAAATTAAATGAATATCTATTCATGATTAGATGATTTAAGAAAATTGAGGACCTTTTTTTATTCAGAAAAGTGCTTTTCATTTTATATCTGACATTTTATAATAAATGTATAAACCAATACACGAATTACACATTAAATTCATTCGTACGAACCTTTAACAAACTTTGAACGGTTATACCAGAAATGAGTAATGAAGAAACGCTTGCCACATTGCATGCATCTCTTGCTAAATATTTACCGAGCTATTTCCTGTAGTAGAAAATAAGTTATTATTCTTGCATAGTCTAATGTCAATTAACGATGTTACCCAAACTTATTTAGGACTATGTGATGAATAGCATTATACGATTTAGCAATAATAATAAGGGGTAAATACCTCATGTAATATTATTTATCACATAGTTTATGTTCCAAATAGTTTGAGTGATATCACTAGTGGTTTAACTACTTCAATTAGTAAGTTTCAGAAACTTTTGTTATATATTAAATTAATTCTTCGATTAAATTATTTAATTTAGGCATTTCATTATTATCGATTGCCAAATGTCAAAGTCGGATATTTTCACAAGCTTGAAATCATTTCTGCTAATATTATTAGTGACCTGTTAATGATCTTGTAAATGGGTGTGACCCGGTGCTTAAATTCAATAAGGGTACAATAAGCACTAGTAAGCATCCTTGTCGCTGTCAAATTTGTATCGTTCATAATTGTAATTGGAATAAGATATCAAGATATTATCTTATTGATATTTTATTGAGATTATTATTCTGCATGATAACTATTACTACATTTATTGACTTCTGGAGACAAAATTTGACAGTGATATGAATACTTATCGTTATTGGTGCTTATTATATCCTCATTGAATTTAATTTTAATATTGACAAATGCATAAATGAGTGTCGCCAAGAGAAACTCGCATATCTAAAAATAGATTGCTTATGAATTTTATAACTGATCGATTGTTAGATATGCATTTTCTTTCGGCGACACTCAAATAAGCAATAGAAGTAATTGGAGTAGTCGGGTATTTGCAAAGAAGCAATTGGAGTAGTCGGGTATTTGCAAACTTGTCGATGACATTTAATAAACCAACCAAATAGAGCTGATAATAGCTGCTTAAGCTTTAATTGATAATTCATTGTAGTAATTGACATAGGTATAATTGAGTCCATCGGGGTACAACAGACACCAGTAAACACCTTATGGTGGCTCCTCAGAATAAAAACGTCAATAAGATAAAATTTTATTGATATGATTATTCTGATTGATGATATTAATACCTTATTGACCTCTTTTGGAACTAAAATTTGGCAACAACATGGGCATTTACCGGTCCCTAATAAACTTAATCATACTTTGGTAAATCATGATAACAGTAATACTTGAGCATCACGAGTAAAATTAAGTTCAATAAACGTCCTTATTGTTACCTAGAATGTTGCATTTTTGTTATTCCGCTATCATTACAATTTCTAACACAATGCACCATATTATAAACATGGTATCTTTGCCTTGAAAATTGTGTTAGGAGACATATGATTTACTATGTTTCATAAAGTGATTTTCAAGGTAAAGACTCACATGGTTTTGTGTATTCAAGCTTTTCTATAACTAATTTATCATCGGACAGATTTAGTAATAATTCTTCGTCTAGTTGACTATAGCCTTGTCCGGCATCAGGAGCTTTCCAATAGTTTCAGAGATATGCTAAAATTTCCAATTGCCAGTCAATATTATCAACTCGTGTCGTATAATTGTTTGATATCTTTATAACTTTTACAATCGGGAATATCGGTTAAAAATAAACGTTGCTTTGTGAATAAATCATGAAGACCAAGCAATTATAAAAGTTGTTGACAGAGTCATTTCAAATTCTGTATAAATCATACATTCATTGTATTTGTTCCTGGTAATTCTAACATGCTTTCTTAATAAATTAACCTTCAAATAATATATATATTATCAATGTAATTTTATTGCTCTTCAAGTTAACTGTGACCGCCCATCACCAAGAATTCGAAAATTTTGAATAATATAATTACTTATCTGAAGATAAAAATCTCTAGGATTCTATGTTATATTTCTATTATTTAGCATTATCTCTAGTAGTAAACAGAAACTGGCAGATTGCTGCATGTACGTTGTAAAGGGAAAATTCATCCAATATCATTGCAGAAATGGTTCGGGTCGATCTAGCCAAAAATGGCTAGAAACCTACTAGTAATGGCAGTAACGGTGAAATGTCTGTACTAGCGGTAATAATAGTAATGGTAGTAAGAACAGATATGTCAGCTCTATAAGAAAAGAGAATGTATTTAAAGATTGAATGTTTCGTACAAAATAAAGATAACTCCCTTCGAGTTCTAACTACGAACAAAGCAATAGTAGTAATTCCCTAAGCACCCTTATTGTAAAGTAACCTTTCGCTTGACATAGTTTTCTTGCACCCGTGACTTGTATTAGATCCGTCGTCGTTAGTACGTTAAGAGTAAAAGAGAGAACTCGAATTAGTAATTGTCCCATATTTATACAAAACCCTAAAGTGATTAAATTTATGATTAACCCTATTGTTAAATAAACTTACATACGCAATTATACTTAAATCGTGATCCTGTGACACATGACCCGAAATTCGAAATCCGATAGTCGGTTAGAACCCAGGCGCACTAGAATAGTAGAGAAGCTAATATAGTAGACATTGAAAGAAAGAATTAAAAAGTAGAGCAAGTATTAGTACTATCAAACAAATCAAGTATAAAGAGTAAGACCAATCCAGAGCCTTGATTCCGTTATCACACAGTAAACCAATCCACGCCTCAATCGACACTTACCAATTAGGGTGTAGCGAGAGAGGCAGATTCTATTAGATTTAGTAGTTCTTGTGTTAGTTTTCGTGTAGTAGCAACCCTCGCTAGAATAAGTACCCGTAATGGTTCCGGTTCATTTCACCGAAAATCAGTTCACCGACAGTACGATTCACCGACAGTCAATTCGCCAACAAGTTCATTTCACTGACAATACGATTCGCCGACAAGTTTCTTTTTATAAATTACACTAACCTTAACTTTAATTCTAACCTGACCCTAACGGTAATGACCAGAATTACTCTGTCGGTCAAATTACTGTCGGTGGAATGAAATTTTCAGCGAATTGACTGTTGGTGAATCGTACTTTCGGTGAACTGATTGTCGATGAAATGAACGGAACTCCTTGTAACCTACCAAATTACACCGTCACAATTGAATTTCCTTATGTCAAGAAAATCCCATGCTGCCGGCCAAAAATATATGGGTCGTAGTATATCAAAAATTCACTATATATCCAGCATTAACAATCCTGTATTATCCCTTAAACCGTTTGCTAATTGGGGGCAAATTTGCCTCAAAATTTTTTGATGCTCACTTATATTACAACTATAACAAAATAATAGTAAACATAATACCAAACCGTATACTACAATATAAAAACAGTATTTATTTTGTTATTTATATTCATGATACTCAATAAAACAATCTGGACGTTGCTTATTGAGACATCATGACACATTACATGTTGTGTACTACACCTGGCTTTGTGGTAAATTTTTATTGCATTTCCCTTGCTCAGTTATATTTTTAAACCTGCACCAAATACAGGAACCTCTTTGTTTATGATATACTAGGTAGTGGTTTTGTGGTAATATTCAATAAGTAACTCAAACTTTTTTGTAATGTAAAATAGTCTTTGCTATTCATTTTATAATTCTAACTAAAATATTGTTTTATTTGTCAGTATATTTAATTGTTGGTTAATTTGACTTATTTGAAGTGATTCTTTCACCAAATTCCATGTCAAATTTATTTTAAAATCTTTGTACACTTATCAAATTAAGATTTTTTGAAATCAAGAAAGTATTAACAATGCTGGTATCCAGAAGCTAAAAAAATAATGGCATTCAAGTATGATATACAGGAACTTGTGTGACATAATAACTTCTTAATTGATCATTATATCAATATCACCCATATTATAGTTGTAATTATCTATTACAACAGATATAAGAAAAACTTTTTTATTTATATTATTAAATATATTATGAACTTTTATTGCATTTGTACTAGCTGTTTATATTCTTTTTTTTATGTTATACTTGAAATTCCTCATCTAAAATTTCATATATAGTTGTTACATAGTTATAAGATCATTATCCATTTAAAACACAACTAAAATATCATTCATAACTGCTCCAAAAAGAGTAACCTATTCAAATTTTTGTGATTTTTTTATTTTTAAATAAATAAGAAATTTTGAAGTATTAGTTCTTATTGTTTCATAACTACCATATCCATTTTTTTTATATATAACTAAATAGGTTAATACTAGTAAAAAAATTATCAATATAAATATTGAATATTTTGTTTTTTGAAAGTTGAGATACCAAGTGATAAATCTGTTAATCAATTTTGTTAATATTCAGAATTGATGTAATTTTAGAGTTAGTTTCAATTAATTCAATATGGGAAATAAAAACAAAACTATAAGTATATCCTAAATTGTATAAAAAAAGTATTTTGTATCCTTTAGATATGTATTTATTTTGAATTTACATTATATGACTGTTTTTTTTTTAAATCTAATGACTATTTCATCAATAAAGACTTATGATTTTGGTAAGTATATCAATTTAGAAATTTTTTGAATATGTATGACCAAGAGTTCAATTTTTGAATACTATGATTATCTAATGATTTTGTTTTAATTTTATGATATAAAGATATTATTTTATTTTTTAAAAAAAATAATAAAATAAAAAAAAATAATTTGTTCAAATTGAAATAAAGTCATATATTTTGTAATTTTATGTTGTAGATATTTCCAATCCATTTTTTAGTAATCTTTTCTACTAGATAACTTAAAAATGTCTATATAAATTATTAGAGAAAACTGTATTAATAATTTTTCAATTATTAAAGAATACTATTTATATTTATCATTAGCTAATTTTGGCATTATATAATAATTTATATTTTCAACATTAAAATTTAATTGTAAATTGGAAAAAAATAAATAAAAAAATAAATATAAAGTAATTTTGCCAATAGCTAATTTGTTAGTTATTTTTATTTAAGTAATATGATATAGTCTAGTATGCTAAAAGTTTTGAAATAATGGTAGTAATAGTAAATTAATTAAAGATACTTTTTTTTATTATTTGACTATGTTTATTAATTTAATTATTTTTTTATTTTTTATTTACAGTTTCTTATTCAGTCTCATTAGCAACTTCTTATTCAGTTTTATCAACAAATTTATTTTTAGTTTTATCACTTTTATTATCAGTAATATCTTTAATTTCACTTTTAATTTTATTTTCAATATTTTGTATAAGCTCAAAAATATAGAAATTATTATTTTTAGCTTTATTATTTATATTATATTCATGATATTTGAAAATAGTATTAAAATGTTATGCAAAAAAATAAGTAAATAAAACAAAAATAAATAAATAAATTATAATAATGGTAATTGTTAAAGTCTAATAGAAGATGATTAAACAATTGTTAAAAAAACAATGCATTATGTAAGCTAAAAAATAAATAAATAATTTTAAATAAGTCAAATTAGGATTTTTTTAAATTAAATAAAAATTTTAAATTTTCTGTATTATATTTATTACATAAATTTTAAATTAAAATTTAAAAATTTGAAGACAAATTTGTAGAAGAAACAGTTTAAAGAATAAGTAAACTTTTATTTTAAAAACTTTTACTTAGAGATTAGAAGTTAGTTATTATAATAAATTTTTGTGTTATTTATATTTTTTATAACTTCTTATATTTTTTATATTTGCTTTGTTATATGAGATTTTGTGATTCATTAAATCTGAATAGGTTTGAAAGTGATCTTTAGTAATTTTCAGTTCAGATTTTTTTGATATACAAGTACTTATCACAACAAAAAAAGAATTCAGTCAGTTGCAGTCAGTTATGATTAGTTATTATTCAGATATTAACTAATAGTCAGTTATAATCAATTATAGCTAATTAGTATCTAAAGCATTTAAAAACATAAGCAGATTAACACAGATTAACAATTGGTTCAATGTTACATATTAACTAGCTGGTAAGTAAGTTCTAGTTGACCATTATTAATTACAGTTATAGTTAGTTAGCTAGCCAACTATACCTTAACCAAACCCATCTCTAGTTATAATATATATATTGTATAGTTTGCTGTACTATTATTATATATGATTTAATTAGCCAAATTATTATATAAATTTTTTAAAATATCAATATGCAAAATTTCATACTATTTTCCTTAAAAATATATAGAAGATTATTAATAAAATTTTGTAAACTATGTATAATCAATTTTTTGTAAATGCATTTCATAAAACTATAATCAAAATTTTTAAGAATGTATATTTAAAAAAGATGTGCATTTATAAAAAGTTGACTATATTCAAAAAGAATAAAAAATATAAAATTTATTAAATAATAATTTCTGTATATACTATATATATATAGTCACTCTTTATAAAATTATATACTTTTTATAAGCATACTAATTTTTATATCAAATTTATATAAAACATAAGGAATTTGATCTTTATGCAGTTACAATTTCTTATAAGCAAAGAATTTTTTAGAACCAAAAAGTATAATTATAGAAAAATTTAGTCATATGCATGAGTATAATAATATTTTACAATTCTAATTATAAAACAACTTTTAAGATTCTAACAAAAAATATTTCTTACAAAATTTTAGTATAAACCTTAACTACTTCTAACCAGAGATAGTAAATGATCTAAAATGACCTAAATGATCTTAAAAAGTTATTTGACATTTGCTAGTCAATAATATAATACCTTTTAATAATTATTTTATAAAAATAAAATATGATTAATAATTGCAATTGTATGTAAAAGTTAAAATTTTACTAAATAATTGCTATTTATATCTTAATAAAGTTATTTAGAAGAACAAAACTATATATATTTTGAAATTTTTATTTAATTTTAATAACTTTTTTTTAAACTATTTTTTGTATTTTATATTTATATAAAATTTTTTTTTAATTTTTTTATTTAAAGATAAAACATCTAAACATTTTAATAAAAAGTTATTGTAATTAGATAAAAATTTCATAATATATATAATTTGTTCTTTTAAACAACTTTTATTAAGACATAAATAGTAATTAACTTAGTAAAACTTTACTTTTATATATAGCTACAATTGTTAGTGAAATTATAGTTTTCAATATCTGCTATTTGACCAATAAAATTACTTTTATATAAATAATCCAAATGATCTAATAACTAAGATCATGTAATTAAATGACTAAGTTATTTATATTTTGAGCAAATGATCAGATCATTTACCATTCCTGCTTCTAACCCTAGAGCTACTCATTTTAACTTTAAACTGGATTAATTTTTTGTTTTAT